TTCTTACTCATTCGACACGTACGCAAACGATTCAACAAGCGCCTGCTCACTGCTGGTACTTATTCGCCTCGCCTCTGTCTTCCCCTTCCATTGCATGCCCACTTATATGTTTCAGTCAGTCCACACTTTTTTTCTACTCCGCATTTGTTAGTCTGTCCGCAGTTTTCATTGGTTGCGATTCTGTAGACCCATCAATCCCCCGACACCTCTTATTCTGTATGCGAATGCAAAAACGCATATTGTGACAACCCCGGTGTGCGTGTGTTTATATCTTTACGTGTATGTATGGGCGCGTTGTGCGTGTGTGTCTCTCCGGGTATTTCATTTCGGCAATTAAACAAGTTGCCGCGCTAAAATTTTGCTAGTGAGTTCTTAGGTAATTAGCACTCCAAGGACCGCGGCACCAACTCTCATGCGTGTTTGAGCCTCGAGTACGAGCACGTGAAAGTTTTTGGTGAAAAAACCGTTAACTCGGGAACCAGAGAAGCTAGGAAGCTGAAAATTTAACGGAATGCCTCCAGATCATGTAATGCGTATTTGCAAATCTAACTTCACAAATGTCACAAATTCTAGCTACTGGGATTCCACGCAGTCTGACTATAGCACGAAGCACTGCAAAAACGCTTGATTGCATGGGCTTGCCTGGTGCACGTCGCCAGTGATTTCTTTTTTTCCGAACGCACCAATTTTCTTATCTCTCCAGATATTCCATTTCGCATGCATTTTTATAATGCACTGTGAGCACACTTCTCTGTTGAGGAGTATCGGTAATTTTTGCCTCATCACATGGATGCATAACTCTTTCAACCTGTCCGCGAGTATTATTTCTCATCTGTCCGCATGTTATCTGTCTGTCTTTTGTTTTACATTGACGAAATTTTATACTGTTTAATTTAGTTCGAAGTAAAAGAATTTTGTAGGAAGCAGTGGAAGAGTATTGCATGAACCTCATTACATTTGCGAATTGACACGATCTGTGCTACGTGTATCTGCGTTTCACTTCATTTGCTGGACGCCATTCTGGTTCTTCACGTTCGTACCGCCAGTCATCGATTACTTTGAGCTCGATTACGACGACAGCCTTAGCTGGTGAGCAATGATGGCAACTAGCCAAATTTTCCAGTTTAAGAAATCGGACAAATTTGATGTCGAAAATGTAGTCATGAGAAGGAATGGGACTGTCAAGTTCGAGACTGCGGTGAAGGCGGTAAGACAAATGTTCTGGAAGATGAGATCAAACGGAATTTTGAATGTTTGGATATTTTCAGGGTAATGAATGCCCGACTGGTTGCCAACTTGCTGCCTTATGTCAACTCTTCAGGTGTGTTGCAAGTTTTTTATTGAAAAAAAAAAAAGAAAGCTGCTATAAAATTAAGGTAATTTGGAGTACAGCAGGGGCTTGCTGATCGTTCTGAAAACAAGTAGTACGTCTTCCAAGGTAAATGATCCAGTGCTTACTGTCAGCTTGTCTTCATTTATTTTTGGGAAATAGAAC